ATGAACCTAAAGGAGGACCATGAGCCTAGAGGAGGACCATGAGCCTAGAGGAGGACCATGAGCCTAGAGGAGGACCATGAGCCTAGAGGAGGACCATGAGCCTGGAGGAGGACCATGAGCCTAGAGGAGGACCAACTCGTCCATTGTTAAACGGGAGCGGAGGCGTCTGTGTTCAGCCGTCTCCCTCTTCTCTATCGCTCCGCACCCAAGCAGCCGTCAGGCACTAACGATCTATTGTTATGTTGATGGTCCTTCATTTGCATGTGAACAATAGTTTTTGGCCGTCTCCAGCAAACTGGTTGATCCGCCGTGAGAAGGTGCTATTTATAAGACTGAGTTGTTTTTATTCATTCAGTCTTTATTTATAGGTTAGTCTCATTTTCTGAGTCTGAGATTGTCATTGTATGTTTCCATACAATGGAGAAATTAGTTCTCTGTATTTAAGTCATTGCACGTGAGATACAACCAGATGGAGCGATGGGCAGCTATGTAAGCACCCGGGGAGGGATTGGGTGTCAGAGACACTACGATGTGAGAATGGCTGCAGTCAGACCGTGACTTTCTGGTCTCGGGTTCTGGTCTCGGGTCGGCTCTACCCCAGGGGTGGGCAACATTTTTTACCAGAGGGCCAAATCAAGATATTTAAAGCAATTGAAGGGCGTCTGAGAGAAATAGTAAATAGATTTTCTTCAAGATAATCTGGAACACTTATTTCAGGCTTTATCTTGTAGCAAAGTTAGCATGCTTGATAAAAATGTCTCCTCAATACTCTTGGAATACAAGACATAGACCTATTCATTGTACACTGGACATGTCTCATAATGTCTTGACACATGAGTGTTAACTTAAATATGTAAAAAAAAATACAATATTCTTGCTTTTTGGAGGCTATAAGGTTCAGTCTAGTTTTGGAAACAACTTCAGGAAAAAAGTTTTGGTTATTCTTAATCCCAAAGTTTTTGATGTAGTTGTCCAAGAGATTTAATTTGGACTTGAGTTTAATTGATAACATGCAAGTTTTCATCAACTTAAGGGAAACAAAGTTCTCTTCTCCTCTCCCCTTCCCGGATCGTTTGCTCAGAAGGAACACACGCTTATGTCAGAATTAAACAACATCTTTATTTTTACAGACTTCAAAATGCGTGAACAAGAGAGAATTGTATCAATATAAATATTACCTGACATCAAGGGACCCTCTGTACAATTCTGACGTGTCTCAAGGTTCTTCCAACATTTATAGACTGTTTTCTCCACCCAGTGACACTTCCTGTTTTCAATTCCTGTCCAATAAACACCTTATAGACTCTCTGAAGTCCCTGTCTAATTTATCAGACACACATCAGCTGTCCTCTCTTTCCACTGAGTACATGACCCTTCAGCACAAAGCCACATAATCTTATCAAGACTGTGAGATTCTGGTTACAAAAGTAATTCTGACCAATTAAGCTACTCAGCATTACTTATTTTATAATTCCCACACACACTCAAATGATGTGAACTATAATTTAACTTCAGTTACCTGAGGAAGAACCTTTTTGATGTTTTTGTCATTAAAGGCCTCCTTAGAAATAAGTCACTATTGTCCTACTGACAGCAGACAGTGTCATGGTTTGATTTTAAAGTTAGCAGCCCTTGAAAATATATTATTCATCAGCTTATGGCCACATCTAACAGAAATTCTAGCCATCTTTATATGATCTGTTTTCCATAATTCATAATTAAACCTTATATTCACCAGTCCATATTATGTTATTTCCCACAATTTATCATCAAAGGTTATTTGATTCCCAACATTATTCAAAAGTTGTCTTCTTTTCAATTAAGAATATTGAGGGCTGGATAGAGATTGTCCACTTTTGGCCCTAGGGCCATATTTTGCCCATGTCTGCTCTAGCCCATAAAGAGAGACCAGTTTTAAACAAAGAATACAGACAACATTACAGCTCCTCAGACTGAAGAAGTCTTTGGATAAGAGACAAACATTTCAACAAAGAAGAATCCGTCCAGAAAGACCTGATTCAAGCTCGATAGACGCTGAAAATAAACTCAAAACGCTGCCTCCTCCTGACCTGGAGGGGGCGCTGTGGACATGATGGACGTTGACTTCCGGTTGAACTTCCGGTGTCGGGTCGCACGCTTTCCTTCCGCGGCTTTGTCAAACGCAAACCTCACGAATTAGCTTACAGGCTATCGGGAAAATAAAGACAAAATGAGCAAAGCACACCCACCAGAGCTGAAGAAGTAAGTTAACTGGGGTTTTAAGTAACATCTGCATATGTTTGCTTTGGTCTGGTTGTTTATTTTTAACGAGAAATACGTTAGTGGCGCTGCGTTTTGTATGAAAATGCTAACATTAGCTATCCCATCTGAAACTGTCGCTGATCGAAAATGATGTTTTTCTTTTCAGATTTATGGACAAGAAGCTTTCATGTGAGTATGGTGTTCTTCTGATTTTCAAACCTATCAAGTTCTTGAATTAGATTTTTTTGGGGCCATAAAAGTAAAGAAGCTTTAGCTGTTCTGCTGTACCTGTGTTATTAATTTTCTTTTTAAAAATACACTGTCACCCTAAATAGTTTTTGATCGAGTCACTAAGAAGTATTTTTTTTACACCTTAACGGTTTTTGTAAACGTACAACTGTAGTTGCAATTTATTTGGTTTTAAATTTAAAGGAAACCTGTGAATCAGCCAGATGTTGCCAGGATTACTAATTTAATCTGGAGCTCCTGGCAAGATGAAGGTAAATGGGCAAAGTGAGAACAAGATTTGACTTAATAACTTCATTTTTAATTTTTTTCAACTAAACTTCCAACAAAATATATTTTCAGGTTTGTCACATAGGCCTAAAAAAGCACCAAATCCTGTTTTTATTTTTTTTTTTTAAGAAAATTTAATGTGATAGTTTGCAAAATGTGTGGATTTATGTTCTGAATTAATAATCTATCGACCATAGCCTCTGTAGAGCTCGAATCAAAAAGACCATTTTAATACGCTGCATTGCAAATTAATATATTAGTTTATCACAAGTTAAAAATCTTGAACTTTCTTTTCTAAGTAATTCAATTTAACTTGTTTGTATTTGTGACGTCATTCAGTCTGACTGGTTTTCAAACGTGAAAGGTTTATTTTGTTTTCCTGTCCCTTTTAGTGAAGTTGAATGGAGGCAGGCACGTGCAGGGCATCCTGCGAGGGTTCGACCCCTTCATGAACCTGGTGGTGGACGACTGTCTGGAGATGGGCCCAGGAGGACAACAGAACACCATCGGCATGGTGGTGAGTACCTGAGCAGCTCTTACTGCTTAGTCAACAAACGACATAAAACACCTCAGTTTGTGCACGTGAGTTTGAGAATAATCACTTTATTTAATAATCACTGTTGTGGGAAAGAATGACATCATTTAAGACTCACTTCCTCTTAAAGGAAATTGCTGATATTAAGACTTTGTTTTGTTAGCCCTGTCCTGTTCGGACCTAATCTGTGATTATTTTTCTTTTAAAGGTGATCAGGGGAAACAGCATCATCATGTTGGAGGCTTTAGAGCGAGTATGAGAGCAACGGAGAGAACGAGCATCAACTTTTTACTTTCTTTGTCCCAGTTTGGTTAATGGTCATAGCTTTTGTATATCACCGAGTTGTGAGATGTTTGGATGATTATTGTGAATAAATATTTTTGTTTCTATTCGGTTTTGTTCTTTATTTTATTGTATAAGTTATTGCACTGTTTAACTTAAACAACATTATAATAAGCCACATTTAGTTTATATGGTCAAACATAATTTCTTTGCATGCTTTTGTGACATATTTTACGTTTGCAATGATTTTGTGTTAGTCCCAATCCGGGCTAGTGATAAGTGTATCTGGAAGTTCATTCACGGTAAAACACTTGCCAAAACAAACATGCAAGTTCATCCAATAGAGGATTGATTACTCACTGTGGCAACATCTGAAAAGGAAACACGCTTTTGAGAACACAAGTCCTACACTTCACACATACTCTTGTTTTTTTTTGTTGCTAAAAAGCAGAAAACTTAACGTATCTAATATGTGATATTTTCTTTGTGCAGATCAGCTTTGTATTGAGCAGGACTTGGTCCAGAACATTAAAATAAGGTCAAATGGGGAGTGAGGATCTTAATAGTCCCAACACACGTTCAGAGTTTGAATTAAAATAAATCTGTCACAGTATACACCAAGTCTTGAGTTAACATTTTTTGCTCGTACCGTTTATTTTGGTTTAACTTAAACAACCTGAGTGAAAATATAGAAATGTTTTTCTAGAGATCTGTACTTTAATAGTACTGTAAATAATATCAAGACTGACCGGCAGGGGGCGTCTTAGACCATGTTATTTACTTTATTAAACAAGTGACACAAAAACTTTGAATATTGAAACATTTGACAAGTTTTCTACATTTTGAGATAAGTGTACAGTATTGACTTTTTTTGGTCAGGCTCGTAGAATTTATTAAGGGAGCTACTTCCGGTCCTTATGCGGAAGTAGCTGAAAAGTTCTCTGGCTAATCATTAAGAATTATTTTTATGACATTTATTTTTAATATTGGATACCCTTCTCCCATATTAATCATTTTGATAATCATGTGCATTTCTGTTCTCATTAAACTGAATGTCTTTTAAGAGCCTTCGTTAATTTCGTTTGACTTTTATTTTGAAAGGGCGGATGTCGTCACCGCGGTTCCGTAACTCTTAACGTCGCGTTTCGTCGGTGTTTGACGTCATGTGGAAAGTAGCAATGTCGGAGGAGGTTGGCATGGCGGTACAATCGGTGCTGGAGCGGGTGAACCAGGCTGCGGCGCGGCGGCCCAAGGTAACCGCGGTCCGGGAAGGTCTCCGCTCGGCAGCTCTGACGCTCCGGTGTCGGCGCCCGGATCAAAGCGTCCGCGCAGAAAGCACGAGCGGTTGTTACGTAAGGCTGCCAAACATCTCACGGTTTGGATGGAACACAGCGAGCTTCTGGTGGCAGCACTTCCATGACACGATGCATGACTTAAACTGGCAGCGTGGTTCGTGCGTGCGTGCAGAGGATTAATATCATTTTGTGGTTATGAATCGAAGCACGTGGGCGCGCTTTGTGCAGGATGTCCGTCTGAATGACATTTTTATGAGTTGCTCCTGTAAGGTCTTCCACCATCATTTTATTTCTTTATGCTTTAGTTCTAAGGGTTTGTACTTGTAATGTTTGAAGGGTTTCTGGAGGTATGTCAAAGTTTTTCTTTAAACGGTGGCCATATTTGAACAAGAGGACAGGCAAGTGGAAGAGAGCCTAGAGAGGTAGAGGCTGATCATTTTAGTTTATTTATGGCCAAAGTATAGTAATCAGGACACCAACTTATTATTTTTTTTTGGCCCAGATTTAGTTTTCATTGAATAATGATTTTTCAGCTAAATTAGCTTCTATTTATCACAAACTATGAAACCAAACCTAAAACGTTTCCCTCAAACGGTGCACCATTTTCTCCTGGAGTTTCCCAGAGTGCTTGATGTGCTGGTCTTGAACGTGAGTCCACAGTCGGTGTCAACAAAACCGTTTATAATCTGCATTTTTCTACAAATTCGAGCGTGGACTTGTTCAGAACGGTTGGACTTCATCCTGAACTTTTTTCCCGTGGACGCAGCCATTCTTAACCTATTTTCTGCCACTTCGGCTGTTTTTGCAAGTCAACAAACACGTGTCAGTTCAGTCACAAATTAAGCTCCTTTTTATGTGTTTGTTAAATTTTTTATGTAGGGAGCTATTAACCATCGATATTTGGAAAATCGTGCAGATTTTGTTGCTTTCTTAGCTTTTTTTAACTGATCTTGACGTAGCCATGAGGACCTTTAACAGCCTTAGCAGAAATTGTAAAAATATTGGAATAATAGAAGAGCTTTCTTGTTTAAACGAGCTAAACTGTGGGAAACATTAAACTGCCTTGATCAAGTATGTATAGCCATGTTTTGTTTTTTGAAAGTGGCCAATATCGACTCAGCTGAATAATTGGGCTTCCTCTAGGCAGGGTGGCAGTCAGTAGAAGTAAGACACGGTTCATGTTTGTGAACGAGAGGGAGACAGGTGGAGCATACTAGCTGCAAGGAGTAGACGGCACCCTAAAGTACCGGGGGGTCAACTGTCCAAAGCAGAGACACTTTTTGACACACCTGGTTTGAGTGAGGGTGATTACCAGGTTTCTGCAGAGCCTGAAGACCCGCTGAAGAGCAGGGAAACGACTAAAACCTACAGTATGGTGGCCCTCAAGGACCAGGATTGGGCACCACTGATCCAGAGCAATGTGCAGAATGAAAGGGGTGAAGAAGAGAGAGCAGGCGGGGTGGAGGGGATGGAGACGAGTGATTTGTGACATAAAGAGCGCTGCGTGAAAACAGATTTACCAGATGGTAGTGAGACCTGCCATGAGGGGATGATGTTTGGATTTTCACGGGGAGGGACCTAAATGGACAGGATCAGAACTGAGGGCGCCAGGACGGCTCAGGTTTGGAGATAAAGTCAGAGAGAAAAGGTTGAGATGGTTTGGACGTGCAGAGGAGGGATAGTGGATCATTTGCACCGAGAAGGTTCATGGATGTGAAGGTTCTGGTGACGGACTCCTGGCACACGTGGAGGCAGATGATCCTCTGTCCAGACCTGAGATTTAAGGAGTCGTCGACTAAAAACCGGGTTTATCAACGTGGTGTGTCGTGTTTCCTTAAAAATATTGATAAAAAACTGAACGAGTGGAGGACAAACGTAGAAGTGCTAACCTGAAAGTACTGTACATTTAACACGTGAGCAGAACTGAAGGTCACGTCCCTTAAAGAGAGCAGAAAATCCAGCGAAGGCCCGAGAGACACGTCATCCTTCAGCTGATCTTCTGTAGGTCAAGTTTTCTGCTAACGGCTCTTCGGGAATCACCTTGCTGATGCTAATGCTATTCTCTGTCCGTTGAACTGTAGTATTTTTGTTATTTTACGTTATTTGCCTAATGAAAAGGGAATTGTGTGCGTATTTTCTCAAAAGTTTAAACTTCAGGAAATGATCCGTCAAGAACTGAACTGAAAAAGTGTCCAAAGTCCTAAAGAAAAACCTTGAAAGACCTTCAGAAACATCCACCCATCAAGATCACGCTAAAAGATTATGAAATATCTGGCTGCATGGAAGCAAAATATACAAAAAGTATACTTGTTTTTTTTGCACGGTACTGTAAGATGAAGGTTATCTCAGCTGAGGCTTGTTTGAATGCTCGGCGTGTTCCAGAGTCATCCAGACGTCTCCGGACTGCTAATAAACAAAACCACCTGTTCTGACTTTTACCAGCACCTCGGCTTTGACGTGGCCTCTTTATTATTCTGTAAAAAAAAAAAAACGAACCCACTGAGACGCTGCTCGAAAACAGAGCTAACATCCTGCGCCGCGCTCCGATCTGATACGAATGAAGAATGTGTCGTCCTTCTGCAGACGGTCCCGGCTGTTCCGCCTCGCCTCGTTGCTGTCAGCAAGACGAAACCCCCGGAGATGATCGTAGAGGCCTACAGACAAGGACAGCGCAACTTTGGAGAGAATTATGTGAGTTAAAGAAAAAAGAGTCATTGCTTGTGTCCCAAGATAAACTCTGTAACTGAAGCCTGACCCTTCTCTGTGTCTGAACAGGTCAACGAGCTCGTGGACAAAGCTTCAGATTCTTTGGTAGGTTCGTGTTTTTCATGGTTGGAGTGGATATTTGAATCTAAAATAAATGTTTGTCTGTCTTCATTCAGATTTCAGAATCCTGTCCAGACATCAAATGGCATTTTATCGGCCATCTACAGAAGAATAACGTCAACAAACTTTTGAGTGAGTGCCCGTCAACTTTCTGAGTTTTTCTTCTTGATGTTTCCATCTTTTTCTGATTCTACTGTTTTTATGACTCGGGGTGTATTTTAAAGGATCCGGTCCTTACCAGGTTCACTCAGATCTGCATTCTGGGTAAACCTCTCCTCTTGGTCTGGTTCTGTCCCACAAGTCTCACAAAGCTTCAGATGAAACTTTACAAAGCAAAGTCGTGCTGCCGTGTTGTTTTTAGAGACAAGAGGCTTCCTCCTGCAACACACCGACCATGACCTTTGACCTCTGACCTGCTAACTGAGGCCTGTAAAGTCTGCGACGGAGCTCATTTCTCTGAGTATTGCACGGTCTGACCTTCAGGGTGAATTAGCTGGGCTGTTCACCCTGTGCAGATCGTCAGCTGTAATAAATGTTTCCCACTTCTTCTCTGCAGAATGATGGACTGCAAATAAAGTGACCTTTGACCCTCCCCAGGTTGATGTGCAACAGTTTTCTTCTCCAACCTCTTCGCTGATGTCTTTCCATCTTGGCATTGTGTTAACACACATCTGTAGGAGCTCCTGAAGGTGGTTCCTCTGGTGATAGTTACGTGTGACGAGCAGCTCCTGGATGATCCTGAACCTCTGAGATCCTGTGGAAGCTGCAGAGTCTTCACTCACACCTCTAACGTTTTGTTTTTATTTAATAAGTAATGACGCCGGGGAATCTGTTGGGTGTTTTTGTTCACGTGAGGATAGCTTTAAATCATTTAGAACCTGGTAAAGACCAGATCACTTTCAGCGTCCTGACCGGTACAACTCTTCTTCTTTCTGTCCCAGATTATTGTACACGCTTGATTCCTCTCTCGTCCTCCAGGTGTTCCCAATCTGTTCCTCGTGGAGACGATCGACTCGGCCAAACTGGCTGACAAGGTGGACAGCTCGTGGCAGCGCGTCCGGGGCGCCAGCAGCCAGAGGCTAAAAGTCATGGTCCAGGTCAACACCAGCGGAGAGCAGAGTGAGTGTCGCCGATCCAGAGGCGCGCTGGCAGGTTCAGGTTAATGAAGGGCGTTGCATGTTGGTTGCAGGCAAACACGGCCTGCCGCCGGAGGAGACGGTGGACACGGTCAAACACATCCTGTCCCGGTGCCCCGCCCTGCACTTCTCAGGACTCATGACCATCGGGCGTTACGGCCACAACCTCACCCTGGGCTCCAACCCCGACTTTCAGGTACAAGAACCTCGTCAAGGACATGCTCCGTTTAAAACTCTTCACAAGTTGGCAGAATTTCTACGATAAATGTTTTTGTACGAGTTTGTCTTCTAAAGATCGAGACCTACAGGAACATCTAAAAAAAAAAAAACGATTGTGTCGTATATTAATATTTTTTTCATCTACTATATAGATTAATTACACAGAGTGAAATATTTCAAGCCTTTATTTCTTTCAGAGGAATTTCTCAGACCATGAGTTTTGGTTTTTCATTATTTGTAAGTTATAATGATCAGGATCACCAGAAATAAAGGCTTGAAATATTTCACTCTGTGCGTAATGAATCTATATAATGTTTCACTTTCTGAAGTGATGGACAAAAATAACTTTTTCACCATATTCAAATTTTGTGAGAAGTTTTATAAATGTGTTTTGCAGTTGCTGCTGAGTCGGAGGCAGGAGGTGTGTGACAGTCTGAACATGCCTCTGGAGGAGGTGGAGCTCAGCATGGGCATGTCCAACGACTTTGAGCACGCGGTGAGTCCCCGAGCGTACGACCACACAGACCGTTATTTACAACTAGCTGCAAAATAAAGTGTACGCCACGACTTTAGTCCAAGGTTTCTGTAACCGTCTTTAACGAACACTGAAACCTCCGACACTCGAGTGATGACTGACTCGGAAATGAAGGAAACTTGAAACGGCTCATTTATAACCCAGGAGGCCATAAAGTTAAAATAACAAGATAAAGATATAAGAACTGATCAGGGTCATGCTAATTACAGTACCTTGTAAAAGTTTCCATAACCCTTGAACTTTTCCACATTTTGTCCTGTTAAAAACAAAAAAATCAAAGAATCTCACTGAGATTTTATGTGACAAACCAACACAAGGTACTGCATAATTGTAGCTATATATATATATATATATACACACACACACAAATAAAAGTGTTAAAGTGTGGCATGTGTTTCGTAATCGTACATTTTTGCTCGTTCATTTATTTTTGTAAGACAGCTGCAGCTCAGTCAGACTGGATGGAGAGCGTATGTGAACAGCAGTGTTCACGTCTTGCCACATGTTCTCAGCTGATTTTAGGTCTGGACTTTGACCGGGTCATCTTACAACATGAGTTCGTGTTGTTCCGACGCATTCTGTTGTATATTGAGGTCACTGTCCTGCTGGAAGGTGAAACTTTGCCCCAGTTTTTGTTTTGTTTTCCCAGGATGCTCCTGTGTTTAGTTTCTCCATCTTCTCTGTCCGTGCTGAAGAAGAGCATCCCCCACAGCATGATGCTGCCACCTCTGTGTTTCACAGTGGGGATGGTGCGTTCAGGGTCATGTGAACCTTTTGTTCGGTCTGAGCAGAGCAGATTCTTCCTCGTTTGATGCATGACTGATACATGTGACTTGTGTCAAACTGCAAACAGAACGTTCCTTCAGTATTGAGTCTTTTTCCACTCTTCCTTAAACACCAGATTTATGGAGCACGACTCGGTTGTCCTATAGACAGATTGTTCCACCTGAGCCGTGGGTCTCTGCAGTTCCTCCAGAGTTACCATCAGGCTTCTTGGCTGCTTCTCAGATTAATGCTCTCCTTGCTCTTTCAGTTTAGGTAAGGGGTGTTCAATCCTGGCCCTCCAGGGCCACTGTCCTGCACGTTTTAGATGTTTCTCTTAGGGGTGCACCGATAAATCGGCCCCGATTTCCTTAATTTGGGGAAATCGGAAATTGTCCGATACTTGCACGAGAAACCGATTTTTACAGATTTCTTTTGTATTTTTCACAACAATTGTCTGAACTTCATTAATATTTCAGAGCACTACCTCATGGCCAGTTAAAACCAGTTTGTATTGTTTCTAGGATATTGTCCAAGGGTATGTTTTTTGATAAGATTGGAAAATTGAAGGTGCATTGTGACATTATATCACCTGACGGTGTCGCTTATAAAACAAAATCAGTATCGGCCAAAATCGGGATCGGCAGGTCAGACCTTTTAGAAATCGGTGATCGACCAGAACCGCAATCGTGCACCCCTAGTTTCTCTGCTCCAACACGCCTGGTTTGAATCAGTGGATGATTTACATGCTTCTGCAAAACATGACGAGGTAATTCAACACATTCAGATGCGTCGGAGCAGGGAAACCGGTAAAATATGCAGGACAGTGGCCCTCAAGGACCAGGACTGGACACCCTGGATTAGGTGGATGACCGTCTTGGTAGGTTTGCAGTTACTTTTTCTATTTTTGGATGATGGATTCCACAGGTCTCTGTGAGGAATTCAAAGCTTGGGACAATGTTTCATAAACTAGCCCTGCTTTAAACATCTCAGCAACTTCATCCCTAAACTGTCTGCTGTGTTCCTTGGTCTTCATGATGCTGTTAATGTTCTGTTACAAACCTCTGAAGCCTTCAGAGAACAGCTGGATTAAAACTGAGATTAGATTACACACAACTGAATTACTAATTAGGTGGCTTCTAAAGGCAATTGGCTGCTCTGGATTTTAGTTGGTATCAAAGTATAAAAAGTTTAGTACAAGTACCGGTACATGCCACACTTTTCAGATTTTATTTGTAGAAAAACCATGAAAACCATTTATTTTGTTACTACGTCACCATTATGCATGAGTTTGTTGGTCTGTTACATAAACTCCAAGAAAAATTATTTAAAATATCTGGTTTTAACGTGACAAAATGTGGCTAAGTTCAACAGTAGGATTTTTATTTTTTATTTTTTTTTTAGATACTGTAGTTCTTTTTGGAAAAGAAAAGAAGAAACGATCAGGACGGTTAAAAAAATAGGAAACAAGAATCTAGAAAATCTTTCCCATAATCACAGAAAGCATGCACAGTTACTCTAATCTTATTCTAAGTAAAACAATTTTAAATATTTACTGATCAGGTAAGTAAGTAAGTAAGTAAGTAAACTTTATTTATATAGCACTTATCATAGATACAATCACAAAGTGCTGTACAACAATAAAAAATAAAAGCTTAAAATGAAATAAAATAATAACAACTCATTAATAAAAACAGTAAAAACAGCTGAAAAAAAACAGTAAAACATTTAACTAAAAGCTTGACGAAATAAAAATGTCTTAAGCTGCGTTTTAAAAGAATCAACAGAGTCGTTCACACGGAGAGACAGGGGCAGGGCATTCCACAGGCGGGGGGCTATGGCCTGAAAGGACAGGTCACCCCGAGTTTTAAACCGGGTCTTAGGAACCTTAAGAAGGTTCAGCGCTGAAGACCGAAGGGTGCGGGCTGGAGAATAAGGAAACAACATTTCAGTAATGTATTGGGGGGCCTGTCCATTTAAAGCTCTAAAAGTCAAAACTAAGATTTTAAAATTAATTCTAAATTCAACAGGCAGCCAATGAAGAGAAGGTATACTGAAGGTAAGATGAGCAGTGTCTCCAAAAGGTTTGGAGACTCAAAGAAAAAGTAACTTTATGCAAAATTGTAAACATTTGTAAATTAACTTGGAAAATTAATTTGCTATCAAATGAACTGTGTGCAAATTAATGCCAATCCAGAGGTGAAAGGCTGCAAAGTTTGTTCCTTAGGTCCAAAAACCACGATCTTTTTCTTGCCCGAGCTTAAAAGTAGAAAATTAAGTCATCCAGGATTTTATGTCTTCAAGATAAGCTTGTTGTCCAAGCACCTGATTGAATTCGAGTTTCATAGATAAATGTAACTGAGTATTATCAGCATAACAATGAAAATTTACCTAACGAATGCACATATGAGGTAAAGAGTACAAGCACTGAACCCTGAGGGACTCCTTGACAAACTCTGGTGTAGGTCGAAGATTCATAGATGTGAACAAACTGGAATTTATCAGATAAATGTAACAATGTTTTTCATAACAATTTGAAAATAAGCGTCCTCAACTTGATTAGACGTATAAACTCGTTTTCGTCGATAAGTTTCACCGTTTCACAGCTTTAGTCGATAATGCGGCGAATTCACAACTTCTATCTTTTTCTCTGCTTCGATTGGGTGCGCCGCCTTGGGTTGAAGATCGAAGTCGGCTCCACCAACGTCAGAGTCGGCAGCATCATCTTCGGCAACAGGGAGTATCCCAACAGCGCTGCGAACACTCCGAATCCCAGTCCGCTCCCCAGTCCGGCCCCCAGTCCAGAGAAAACCTCCAAGACGGTGTCAGAAGAAGCTGCCAAGAAGATGAAACATCTCACCGTCTCTGAACACTAAGAGATTATTCAAGTACATTCATGACGAAAGGATAAAAACCTCTTCATATGGAAAACTAACGTACACCCGGAGCTAGGATGGCAAACGTCTTGGAAATCTTTATGGAAATTCTCGTACTAATGACTTTTGATGTGCCCTTTTAGCTCTTTTGAACATTAAATTGACTTTGAGTTAGAAACTACTGTAGTTCTGCTGTTTTTAAACAGTATTTTAGTGCTTTGACTTCCAACACAAAGCTTTTTAGTGAAACTTACTAGAGAGAAACTTCTGATAATACGACCTAAAAGAATAGAAGTGGGGTTATGTGGAGTGGTTATTAGCAGTCATCATCTTACCTTCAGTAGTCAGTCGTTACTTTGGAGGATTGAGGACAGATCGTAGCATCATCAGCACCAGTTCGTGAAGGTCCTGGTTTTTCTTTGGAAGCCTGAATTTTGTGATTGCGCCAGTCAACCTGGCTCTGATCAAACTGGTTAGAAAAATAAAAAAACGTAAATGCTGGAGACTCATCGGCATTTACATTTGGACCTTTAAAGACAAATCAGAGCTTTATCGCCACCTGCTGGACTGGAGTGTGAAACCAGACTGTGTGCAGACGACCCTAAAGCCACTGAGAAGCAAACTGAACAAACTCAGGCAAAATTCAAGGGTGAGAATCTTTGAGCCTTTACGGTTGTGAATCAGAGGCTGTGGTACGATTAGAAAACAATAATAATGCCTTTCAGTTTGCTTGAATGTTTATATAATTAACAGATTTATATATATATGTGACCAGTGTTGACAAAATAAGTAGTTTTTTCAATATTGAGTTCAAATTATCGTTCTCAAAAGCTTCAAAATAAAACCTAGTTTGCTGAAATTTGACGATCACTTTGCAGCGGGGGGGGGGGGGTCTAGGATGATGTCATCAGGAATTCCTTCATTACTTTTAAAAAGGCGACTCCCTGGGCGTCACAATGACGCTAAAACATTACACCAAGGGTTTCCCCGGCTTTGCAGAGAAGAATGTTAACATTTAAAAGGAACGTAAAAAAGTTAGACAAAGGATAATTTTTTGAAAATATCTATTTGAAAGCTTAGATTTAAAGATAAATTAGAAATATTATATGCTATTTAACCATTTACTTGGTCCCACCTTTGTGCCACCGTCTGGATTCTGGCAAGAATCAACATTTTTACGTGTCTTTCATTACAGCCTGAGCTTATTCGCTCATTTTGCCAACACAGGTCGCAAATAACTGACTTATTTTATACATTTGTCAAAGAACCCCATTAGTTAGAGGCTGCTGACCCAACAATTAGCGTAGATGCTAACTTAATATTGAAAATGCCATAGAAAGGCTAGTTAGCATTGTGTCTTTCAGTGGAAATTTTTACACAAAATAAACGTTTGAGTTATCACTAAAGACACTGATGTTGTAACTTCAGCTGTTATTAACACGCAGATGTTCAGGCTTCGGTGAAAAAACTAAAATCTACGGGAACTCTACTGGGACAATCTGTACCAATGAGACACTTTTCTGCCGACTCCCTTAAAATGGCAGCGCAGACTAACAAAATGTTATCTCTGCAGCATCTAAATAGATTTGACCTTCCACATGTGGCAACGTTTGGGCAAAACTTCACCTGACGTTCCCGTGCACATGGCCACAGAAGACTGCGCCCTAGAATGACGTAAACTTAATTGAGAAAAGTTTGTCAACCCAGACTGTTTCAGGAGAAAATCTGTGGTGCGGATTTTCTCGTACAGGTTAAAGTTCCTGCGATGCAAGAGCGAGGTCCTGCAACTCGAAGACCCTCCCTCCCAAACGGTCCCGGCTGATCGGCGGCAGGATCCGCCTCGCTTTTAGGCGTATATAACCACTAGAAAATGTTTAACACTGAACTTGATTTAGATTGTGGAAATTTGTCCATGAATGATCCCCGCTCTGAGTAGCTCTTAACTTGAAAGATCATTCTGTTGCAGGTAAGATACTGATTGCTCACAAGCACTCCACAACCTCGCATCAACAGAAATTTACCTTTTCCTTTAAGATATTTAAGGATAGTGTTTGTCAGATGTTATTAACCTTAAGATTACTGCAGAGAACCTACTGAAACATCGTAACGGGAGGGAAAGACGAGGATTCGTTGTGCCGAAGTGTTTTCTATCCACGGTCGGGAGTCCCACGGACTACGATGTACCTTTTTATTGTACATACTTGAAGCAAAGACTTGATTTAAAACGGATCCCTTTATAACATTTAGTATTGTGCGTTTGATATGGTGATGTTTGATATGACGTGCCTAACGTGTCAAATCTTTATTCTTGATAATCCAGGTTTGGTTTTTGTGTTTAGTGTTCGAGTCCGTGCTGTGTAGTTTCCAGACACGAGAACGTGAATCTATGCAATGTTAGATTTTTAACCCGCAGCGGTTTCTTCAGAAGATGTCAGGAGCTGTTTTTGTCCGTTTCCATATAAAGTGTCGGTAAAAATCAAAAAAAGTGATCAACTTGTGGTTAGCTGTGATTTCTGTCTTGTTTGGTTCAGTCTGAGGCTCAAACCAAACAATAAATCTTATTGTTGACATTATCCAACAATTAATGCCTCTTTATTCACATTTCGATACTAAATGAACCTAAAGCTGCGGGCGTTTTGGCTAAAATCTTTATTAAGCACTTCGAGGCGACATCCAGACCAGAGTAAAGTTTACAGAATAACAAAAAACGCGTTCACAAGAGTTTAGTTCAGCAGCATGTAGTGTAACAGACGATTACAACCAAAACCTGCTCTATAATAATAAACTTGGCAAGAAAACAAGTGCTGCAGCCGCTCAATAAATAAGATCTGATGAAACTTCTTTACATTAAAAATGAGGACAGAATACTTCAGCTTCGACTTAAAGTTTGGGTAAAAGTCAGTAGAAAAACTTATTTACAAAAAAAACCCTCAAACTATTTACAGACTGATGGAGCTAAAATCTAACAAAGAACAAAATACACATTTATTCTAATCAATTAAAGAAATTCACACTGAAATGCAGCTGAAATCATAAAAATGTCTTGATCTAAAATAATCTGATCAGACAAGTTGATATCACCCACAGCCAGGAACACCAGGCGATCATGTAACTGAGCCTGACGATCCCATTTAAAAATTGATTTGCAAAATTGTCACATGTCAACATAACTCTGGTTCATTCTGGAGTTTAAGTGATTTTTTTTTTGTTGCCTGAATTATTCACAAGTCAGAGTTAAATGGATTAAACCAGGGGGTTCCCAACACTGGTCCTTGAGGAACGCCACCCTGCATGTTTTAGTTGTTTCTCTGCTTAGACACACCTGATTTTAACAAATGGGTGATTAGCAGGCTTCTGCAGAACGAGAGGAAGGAATTAAATCACTGAATCAGGTGTGCTGGAGCAGGGAAACATCTAAACCATGCAGGAAGGTGTTCCTCAAGGACCAGGATTGGGAACCCCTGAAAAGTAAAAGTCCAAAAAAAAAAAAAATAACTAGGAAAGACCAACAGAAATGTAAATTTCTGGAAGCAAAGTATACGGTAAACAAGAAATTAGTAAAAATGATGAGACATCAAGCACTGTTCCTTAAAGGTCCAACAGATTTTTCAGGCGTTTCATGCAGATGAAAAGGCTTCAGTGCTTAAATTTTTCATAAAGCATTTCTGAGGTGAAACTGCTGCTTCGAAATAATAAATGCGAGCGCAGAATTCCAGCTGCTTCGGTGAAAAATGTTGTATGAACTTTGACCGGTTGTTGGAACGCAGCTGGAAGAACGCGCAGAAACAACAAGACCAAAACGTAGAGCTGATGTTAGGGTCGTTTCTGGTAACACTTTTAACATTCTGGTTCTTCTACACTACTGAGAAACGTTTTTAACTTTTTCAGAGAAAAAGTCCACTGTTGTCCAGAAAACGTCACAAACACGGTGGTGACTGGAGTGTTCTGCTACAGAGGGAAAAAAGTTGGTTTGTGGGAGAGAACTCGAACTGTCGGTGGCTGATACCCAGTCCTCCTCCTGGTGGTTCTGTGCTAGAGGTGGACGTGTCCCAGTTCTGCAGAGTCCAGCTCGTCTCCTGGCTCACGTTACACCAGCTTCTTGGCCTCGAAGAAGCTCTTCAGGTGCCTCATCTGCCAGATGCCGGTGATGATGAGGATGAAGGTCTGAGCGATGGACCACCAGAGAACGCGCTGGTTGGTGCTCTCGCTCGTCATACGAAAGCGCTCCTCACGGTACTAGAAAACAGAACGAGTTGTTACGATGAGCCGAAGACCGACCCGTCAGGTGTCAGTGATCTCACCCTCTGGTAGTTCTGCTCCTTCTGGATCTGCTCCACTTGGTCCAGCAGCTGTCGCACGCGCAGCTGCAGCTCCGTCAGTTTGTCCTTCGCTGCGATCTCAGGGTAGTTGTTGGTGTGTTCTCCAACCTGGATCTCCAGGTGCACTCTCTGCAAACACCGTGAAGTGGTTTTTATTTGTTTTCATGGGAGCACACTCAGAACCGATCACATCAAGAAGAGACTGTTTGTCTCTAAAGTGCCAAAACAAGGCTCTAAACTCCAACAGTCTACTTTTATCAATTAAAATGGTCAAACTCGGCCGAGAAGCAAGACAAGTTCTAACAAATCATTTAGAGACAGGGAGGAAGTCTCGACTCGTCCTTCATTTCTTTGTGTTTTGGTCTAAAGGTGGTGCCCGACAGGTCAGAGACCAGCTGGTGCCTCAAGATGGAGAGGAAAAATCCTGAAAATTTTCTGTTGCAGTTTTACTGAATTCAGAGTCAGGTTTGGACATGTCCAGAGAGGAGGGACAGTGGTTTGGACATGTCCA